ATATATTTTTTTTACAACAAACGATCAAGCTAGCTGGACACAAGGTAAGATATTATATTTCTAAGTATGTCATGAAAATTAAAGATAAACTTAAGATAAATCAAGAATAACTTTTATAGAAGGAATAATAGAATTGCTAAAAGTGGATAATTTAAAAAGAGGGATATTATTAATAACTACTTTCTCATCATTCTGATCGTAATACTACGTGTTCAACGTAAATGTTTTAACTTGTATTATAAATCTATTTAAAGAAAATAATTCAGCCATAAAGGCTTGGCGCCCAACAATTGGACAGTAGCATTTTACATGAACACACGCTGTTTCCCATTCATATGACCAATAAATATTAAGAGTCGTAAAATCCTCCTCCATAATCATTGCACATTTCATTGTAGAATTAATATGACTCAGGTGCGCGTCATCCGAATATAATTTTTCTTCAATTTACATTTTACGACAAACCATGTGTGGTTGTAGTATCTTAATAAATAATTCATGAATATATACATATATACGAATGTATACCGTATGCTTTATTTTCACCTTGTAACTAAATGTACTTCAACAATCCGTTAAACATAATATCTATATTCTATTATTAGTCCTTCCTCTTTTTTTATGACAAAGATATAAATATCACACATATTCGATTATTTAATTCTTCCATCCTCCTCTTTTATTTTTATGACAGACTATAGTGCGAACTAGAAATTAACCGTAAAGAACAAGAAGCCATTCGACAAAGTATAGAAGTAATAACAGTAATCAACAACAAAGAAGATATACAAAAAAAAAAAAAGAAAATGTATAATAATTATATATTTTAGAATAAGGGAGAAATTAGATTAAGAAAATTAGAGGGCTATATAAATCATAAGTAGAGTTAAAAATACTGGCATATAAACTTAATTATTATTTTTTTTTTATTTCTTTTTGGGAAAAAAAAATTTTAACTCTGGCACAACACACAAACTAATACTCTTTCCATTATAAAGAAAAAAAGAAGGAAAAATCCTTATAAAATAGTATACTAAGTGCCATAATAAAAAAAAAAAAAACATACATGAGGTACGATAAAAAAACAGAGAAAAAAAAAACTTTTATTACCTTGTTTTTCTAGACACATAGACATTTGAAGCTCCTCCAACGCTCAAAAGAAGCTTGTGAATTAAGGAGTGTGGACATTGAAGACCCAGAGATTCTTAAAACGACGCTAATGTCCCTCCAAAAGTTTTTTTAAATAATTTTTCTTATCCTACGTAGAATTATTTTGCCAAAGTTCTTTTGTTTTGTATTAAAGCTTAGGGTCAGACCTTAAGTGTAGGGGGGAGCAGCTTATGCGATCACATTTGCATATGCCCATATCTCTATCTTACAGAACATCATTGTACCGTTTAATAGACATATACGGGGTGATTTTTTTATCATAACCCACTCAATTACTTGCAGAATAATAATAATTTAAACATTTTTTTTTTTTATTATCTTTAGTTACACATTATTCTTCAATTTTTAACTACGTAATACTTTTTAAGTTCATCCCTTATGCCTTGGAAGGGGGTCAACTTTGTTTTTTTAAATGGTAACACATATTTTTAATTTAATAAAATGTTTGAGTTTTTAATTTAATAGTAAATGGCATTTGAATTTTTAATATAACTTAATTCGTTTATTAGATATAATCATTTAAAGTTTCAAAATTTTTAATTAATATACAGGTATAATACACAAGGAGTTACAAATATAGGTAGCTAATTGGTTTTTTATAACATTGATATTAGCAGGTACACAGCATTGTTATTATCAATTGTAGTAAGGCACATTGTTATGAGTTTATAAATACACTAACTGACAATACAGAAAGTATATCTATTGATAATCATAATTGATAATAAACAATCCGTGACTGTGATAGCAATATCATAAAAAACCAATTAGCTACCTGTATTTGTAATACCTTGTGTATTATACCTATATATTAACTCAACATTTTGAAACTTTAAATGTTTATATCTAATAAGCTAATAAAGTTATATTAAAAATTCAAATGCCATTTACTATTAAATTAAAAACTCAAACATTTTATTAAATTAAAAATATNTATTTTTTTTACAAAACATTTTTTTTTTATTAAACTAAATCTAATGGTATAAAAAAAAAATAGGGTTGCCATTTGAAAATATGAAGTTGACACTATTTTTAAGCATGAGGGATGGTGGTAAAAATTTAAATTTTCTTGTGAAACAGCTCATCAAAGATCTATAATGATTAAAAAAAAAAAATTGTTTATAACTCTTATATTTTCAGAGATAATTCGTGAGGCATAGTTAGTCAATCACCCTGTATATATATATATAAATGTATATATATTATTCAATTTTTTGTGCAAATATCAAATCAGTAGTTACATGTTTTCCATCACCAATAATTTTTGATATTATTATTAATTAGTTAAAAACAATGTGATATAACTATAAGGATAATAGTTAAGAATATTTCAATTTTATCATCTATTTAAACACCAAGAGTTACAAAAAAATTATTAATATTTCTTTTGAAATGATTTATTACAAAAAAACCCAGCACAGGGGGTTCGTGGCACAGTGGTGACTTGACATAGTTGGATCAAGTATAATGATATCTGAAAGTGATTAAAATCACTATCATAAAAAAACGCTTCGATGCAAATCTTTAGATAGTGTTTCATTTTAAAAAATTGATGGATTATTCCAAAAGCTTCATGATCTGCTATTTTCCTGAATAAAAAAGGAATTATTAAAAAATATTATTTTTCATAATAAAATTGTGTTGATCCATACACTTTTCAATAAGTTATAGCATTATAAAGTTAAAAATGTAAAAAAATATAATTGAGAATTTTCACACAAAATAGCATTTAGTAGCCATTTTCACCATGAAGACAAGTCCAGAGGTCAAATTTTATTTTTCCATAATAAAGTAAATTACATTACCATTAATTTAAGTTATATATAAAAGTGTCAGACCTCCCGGAACATCATTTTGGGGTGGAATGTTGGCTCAGTAGATTTAAATTATGTTACGAAATCAGTTAAAATTTATAATTGGATGATTTTTTAACTTATTTGAATCCATTATTGTTTGAATAATTCACATAATATAGCTATTTGAATGTAAGATTATTTTAGTTAAGAAAATTTTATGTTATGACAAAGCAATAAAAAAATATAAACACATTTATTATCTTTTTTTTTTTATTATTATTTAAAACCAAAACACTAAAACTATAATACTATTATTCAACAAAGAAAATTTCATCCACACACTGACACTGATAAAGTCGGTTGTTCTGTTGTCAGTTCCTGGGCACTGCTTAACTGTATTTAATACTGTTCGCAAAATCTGTTAAATATGGATTCATTAAAACAAACCCTACACTAACTATAATGACAGCCTTAGTATATTTGAACGGTGACAGGACATTGATTTACTGTTAATGTAATCAATGGCGTAACCAGAAACTGATTTTTTTTTTTGGAAGTGGGCTATTATTTTATTTTGATTGCCAAAAACTTTTTATTCTACATCGCTATTTTAAAAATTGTAAATGAGCGAAAAAAGAGGTCATGACGTTTATTTTTAGTGTAACATAATATTAATTTTTTAAATTGAATATTGACCTTGGAAACAAAAGAGCATTGAAGAGAATTTTATATATTTTTAAGCTAATGAGTTTTATGCTGATCCATTACTCCGTCTATTTGTCGATCATAAAAAAAAATTACTGCAAACAAATTTTTAAAATTACAAATTTAGTTATAAATTCAAAAAAAAAAAGTGAAACTCTTTATGAATCATCAATCATTAAAAATTAAATTTTTATTATGGTAGATAAATTCATTAACTTTAAAATTTGTAATTGACCAACTTTTTCACTAATTTTTCCTATAAATGTTTATTATATAGTTTTTGTATTCACACAACATAGCTATTTAAATATAAAATTATTTAATACATTTATACATTTAATATACATTTATTTAATAAAGCAGTGTAACAAAGAAAAATAACATAAAATAATAATTACAATAAGCTTCTAAAACGTAAGAAAATATTAGGAAGTATAAATATTAACAAAAATATCAATTTAATGTAAAAATTAGGAAATTTTATACAAGCCATTTAAGCAACTTCTTTCATAAAAAATTATAAAAATAGTTGGCCGGCTATAATTTCTTCTCTGTGTCTTAATCTTACAGAAGGCATAAGACTCGCATTTATAGGAGTTGTGTCTCCTCGAGCCATTTTTTCGGCTAGTTCGACCGTAAATGGACCACAGTCATACCCATTAGTTTGACGAGTCGTCTCACCGATTTTTAAAGTCCACGACGAAGCTGCTCCTTTTTTATCCATCTCCCAGTCAGTTAGATACTCCTTCAGTACCATAGGATAAGGACCATCATAACACTTAAGACTGTCATATGATGTCACAGTTCTTTCGGGTACGTTTACCACAGTCAATATCCAATGTCCGCCAAGTACATTCATTGGCACAAAAAGAAACTTTAATGTATCTTTTTTTAATGGATATCTTTTTTAATCCATCTTCTGACAGCTGGATAACCTCCTCGAAGATATGCTGGTATGAAGTTGGTAACGACAGCATGAACTTCGCCATTGGACCTTTTCACTATCAATTTGAGATAATCATTAATTATGTCCGAAGTGTACCAAGATTTATGGGACTTAAACGAAGGCGCGTTATACTGATCTAGTTCATTTGTGTTCGGATCATGCGTCACTTCTACAAGAGTTAAAAACTTCTCATAAATTACTTAAGCTAGCTAAATGGTTTAATATGAGTAAAATTATTCCTAGGTTTTGNTTTAATATGAGTAAAATTATTCCTACGTTTTGAAATATAAGATTAAACATAGTTAAACAAAATATGTGTTATGGATGTTTCTATGTGAAATAAATATTAATGAAATCAATAAAATATAATAATTTTATTTTACCTATTTCTTTCTTTGGTATTTCATCAATTTTGACAACGGACACGACAGGCAACACGTCATTCATATTTGAAGGCGAAACTTCAGAACTAACTTTAGACTCTAAAAAATTAATGGATAAAAATAGTGCTTAATTGTTACAATAAACTAATGAAAGGTCAAATTTTTAAAATAGAATTATTGTCTACTTTTTATGATTTTCTCATCTTTTTCTGATGATTTTCTCTTTAAATTTGGGCTTTCAGAAGAGGATAACTCTTGTAGTTGTTCTTTTGGTCCGCATTTTGTGGGTTTTAAATGAGTTATTTTTTCTTCTGGAGTTTCTTTTACTTTATCAGTAGACACTTCTGGTAATGTAACGTCATTTGACGTTGTCGCATGTAAAATTTCAGAACTAATTTTTGCCTCTAAAAGTATTTATGTTTTAAAATATAAGAAAATAATTTCAATAAACATAATATGCAAGTTAATATTTATAAAAAAAATTATTGTGTACTTTTTATGATTTTCTCATCTTTATCGGATGACTTTCTTTTTAAATTTGAACTTTCAAAAGAGGATATTTCTAGGAGTTGTTCTTTTACTTCATATTTTTCGGGTTCTAAATGAATTATTTTTTCTTCTAGTGTTTCTTTTACTTTATCAGTAGACACTTCAGGTATTGTAACGTCGTTTGAAGGTTCATTATTAGCTTCTAATTCTTTAAGTATTAAGAGTTTAAAGTATAAAATAATTGTTTCAATAATCGAAATTTAGTTTAAATTTTTTTATGTACTTTTAATGACTTCATCATGTTCTTCGGATAAGTTACTTTCTATATTAGGGCCACCATTATCATTGGAAGATACTTCTATGGGTTGCTTTTTTTCATCGCATTTGTTACGATGCAAGTGATTCTTATGAAAACTCTTAACGAATCATAAGAACATATTAAATCATAGTATAAATTTTAGTTAATTTATTTAAAAAATCTACGTTAAATCAAAAGATATGTTTAGGCTACTTATATACTTTTTGAATATAAAACAATGCAAAATAAAATTTACTTTTCCTAATAAATATGCTGGTATTTTTGGTGCTTTGTCATTTACAATTGGTATATAACTTTTTTTGGCTGGAACTGATAGTTTCTCTCCATATTTTCCAGATTTTTGATTCCTTATAAGTGTTCCAATATCTCCTCGCTGTATCAATTTCTAGGCGTAACCAATGACAAATTAAAATGAATAATTGGAATATAATTAATATGTTATTATTATCTTCAATAAGAAGCCTCTTTTCTTTAAAAATCTTATTGGAAATCAAAAAGATTAAAATGTTAAAATTGAAATTAATTAACATCTTTTACTAATATCTCTAAAAATAATACATTTTTACAGCTGCTCTAAATAATAACAAATATTAAATTATTTCTACTAAATTGTAGGGGTCGATATATCTGTACAATTTTAATTACCATTTTTTCTGCAATAATTTCATCGCTTTCAAGTTGTTTACGATAGGTTGGTTTTTTTGGTTTAACTGTATTTGTTGCAGTGTTAATATTTCCACTAGAATTTGCTGTTAAGAGAATATTATTTTAAAAGTTATTAATTAAATAGTTAATTTTGAAAATGTTTACGGTGAAAAAATGCATTGTCGTTGATATTACATCTACTCTAATGTTTATAATTTACTGAAATAGTGAATAATATTAAAATTTTTTTAACTACAATAAAAAAATAATCATTATTTATCAAAAAGAGAATAATCTTTTTTAATTTCTTGTTATATTTTATATCTAATCGTTTTCACGTCTCTTGATAATTAGTTTAATTAATCTTAATAGTGTCTACAGTTATTAATTTCACCTTTAGACTGTCTTGATGTTTGGGGATCTTCTGGACTATCAACGACTAAATTGGAACTCATGAAACGACGATTCCAGAATTCTTCAATTCTGCGTTTCACAACATTCATATTTGTTTCATAAATATGACTATCCGTATTGTTTTCGCTTGCCATATTAATAATTAGTTAAATAACTCTGAATACTTACACGAGATGATAGCTTATTTTGACGAGCAAACACGAAGTGATCCCAATGTCAACATAGACAACGTTTATATATGATAAAGTCATGATTGTCATGGAGAGTTAATTCGTTGAATTCTTTTATTATAAGCCACTTAAATATTTAAAAATTAAAAATAATTGTTAATCATATTTCATATTGTTCATCAAAATCGGTCCAGCGAGAGCTGAGATTGAATGGTAACAGACAAAGAAATTAAATCAAACACATTTTAGTATATATAATACTTCACATCGAAGTTAAAACTATTAATTTTTTAATTAACTCATAATAAATTTAGGAATAGTAAACAATTCCTACAAAAAAAAGACTCTGGTTGGGTATTAGTTTTGAATTTTATTAAAATTTAATCATTTCCATCATTAGCTGCATTTCGATTTTTTAACTTTGCTACTTAATTATGAAATTTTGTCATATTAGAACTGATAAATTTTATTGTATTTTAAGAAAAATGATTACATTTGATTTTACCATTAGAAAAAAAAATCAATTTTTCATACTATACTAATATTTTAACTATATTGAAATTATTTACAAGTTTGGATCAAAGTTAAAAAAGAACAATAGTTTTTGTTGTCCTACTGTGACAGACAAATTGTACTTTTCATTAAAATATTGTACTGAAGTGAATTTGTAGAAATGTTAATAATAGGTGCACAGTCTTCCTTATCAAAAGAAGGAAAAATGTCAAGATTTGATAAAATTATTTTAGGATTACAAAATTCCATTAATTCTGACTAAAATAGTTTAGTATTAATTATTATCTAGTGAATGTAAAATATCATTATGCCAGTTTTATTTAAAATTTTTCTATTATTTAGGCATCGAGTCTAAACCTTTTTTACAGTTTATAATAAATAATTGACAAATTATTGAAATTAAGACATTCATGTAGCTAAATTGCATAGCTGACACGCCGTTTCATAACACAATAATAAACAATGGGTTTAATTAAATGGGTATTAAACAGTTTATTTACAAAAATTTTAATTAACATACTTTTTAATAGTATTGATATTAATCTTTAAATGAATTCAGAGTTTTTTATTTACAATTACTATTTTTGAAGTGATCTTAACAATTTAGATTATTTTTTAAATGAAATTTTATATTCGATTTTAATATTAATTGTTTGTTTTTAACTTAACTAATTATTAAGTAATAAGTAATACTATAGAGTATAACACTATGGTAATACTTAAGTGTATACTATAACTTATAAACATCATAAATCTCATGATGACAGCATTTCGATCCGTTGTTGGAATGAGACACAGTTAAAAACCTGTAAATGGAGCTAACGACAATAATTAATATGAGTCTGATGATGAAATTGAACTAATATTTTATATTCAATATAATATTTCAGTTTTGTTTATTTATTGAAGATAAAGAAAACCTAATACTATATTATTACAATTAGTAGTTTATAATTAATTTTATATCACAAAAAAAATTTATAGGTAACCAAACCCAAATCTTTGATGAAATCATTAATAAAAATTCTACTAATACAATGATGCATAGTTAGTTGAGAATTTAAGATGTTAGGGTAGTAAAGATTTTTAATATTTATTGGTCAATCATATTTCTATAATACTCATCTTTAATTTCATAGGTTAATTTTGAAGAAAATTGAAATAGGAGTCATCTAATTAATAAAATTTGTTCGGTCATTTTTTTAATACTCAATTTTTAATTTTATATCTTTTGAGATTAGTTCAAAACTAAAATATTTTGTGAATTTAAATGAGTTGATTTATATTAGATTTTAAAACTTGAATAATTTAGGCTATTAACAAATGTTTCAATATTTGAGGTTGCAATTAAATTTAAAAAAAACTTGCATATATTCTATTTATAGGTAAAGAAATACTTTTAATCTCGTCATTATCTTATTTCTAATGTAAATTTATCAGATTATCAAAAATTGATACAAATTCCATAACTTTATGTTCAGCCTCTTAAGTATCACTAAATTCAACAAATTCCTTACAAAATTTGATCTATTATCAGTTTTACACAAAATCACTTAATTCTAAATTTGAAGTTATTGATAAATTTAAGAAATTAGTCGGACGAGAACATCTTATGATTTAATCATCTTTAAGGGGTAGTATTTTTAAGTAACTGTTATTTACTTTCCAAAGTCAACTAATTTACTTGCTCTTTTTTAAAATAATATTTTTGTGTTATATTTCAATAAAATATGATTATTAATAGTTTTATATTTACTATCAAAAACATTTATATCACACTTTTATACCAACACTCAATATAACTAAATGACATAAGTTATAACTAGTAATTATTAATTAAAATTCAAAACTAATTTATATTTGTTACATTCAAATTGATATTCAACAAAAAAAATTACTAGAAATATTTAATTAATTTTTAGTAGATTTACAAATATTTATTACCTATTTTAGTTTTTAAATTTATAGTTACAGTAAATTTATTTAATTTTAATTTTCAATGACTGCTTTCATTTCCACAAAGGATATTATTTTAAATTCTAATCCAATACAAAAATAATTGATGAAAAAAATGATTAGCCTCTGATAAACAAAACTATTAACTCAAAAATGATTTCACGTGAACTCAAGTTGAAATATCAACTGGATAATAAAAATATTATTGATAAACAATAGAATACTGTAAAAAAAGTATCTATACCGTCAGTTACAGTATCGCAACTTTTTGATAATATTTCTTGGAAGCAAACTCTCCACAATTATAAATATCCGCTCAACATGTAAATTCAAGTGATGACCCCATTAAACACTAGATGGATTTGATATTCCTCCCCATGATATACTGCCTGGCTGATTAGGAATAGTTTGAATAGGACCTGGTGGTGGTGGTGGTGGTGGTGGAGCTGGAGAGAATGCTTGTACCTTTTCTTCACAAGAAACTTCTGGTGATGGTTTTATATTTTCTTGTCCTGGCAATGATGGAACAGATGGTTGGTTTATTTGATTGCCCCACCCAGAATAAGATGATGGATGAGGAGTTTCTTTTTCTTCTTCACATGGAATTTGAGGTTTCTCGTATATTAGTTGTGGCTTTTGAGGTATAGAATTTATTAATTCACTTTCTTTTTTTATTGGTTGTTTAATTGATGTCTGTGTTGATTTTAGTTTTGGTTTATTTGTAAATTCAACTATAATTGGTTTAGGTTTTACGAAAACAGGTCTGAAAAATGTTTTTTCTGGTTGAAATGAATCCTGATTATATGTATTAAAGTTTGGTATATTTTCTTTTTTGATTATTAATGGTTGTATTAAGTCTTTTGTTTCAATATAATGACTATGTGATGTAAACTCAGAGTTATCTTCACAAGGTGTTTTAATATTTTCATTTTTCTTATACGTTGTCCAAATATATATTGATCGGTAATTTTTTTACTTTTAAAACTTGGTGTTAGTACAAATTGATTTTCAATATTTTTCAACTCTAAATTAGTGTTTTGGCTTCCATAATGAATACTATCAGAATTTCTTATTAATCTTTTTGTCGGTTGTTTATTGTTTAATATCTTTTTAGTAGATTGGTTGATTTTGAGAATGTCACCACTTTTAATGTTATCGTTTCTTAGTGATAATGTGAGAACATTTTCCCATAAAACAAGAATTGTTAGTGTCCAAATTACTTTGGGTAACTGAACTAAAGAAAAGTTTTTTTAATTATTATTATTACAGCTCGTACTAGAGTAAATGATTTCCATACGCTCTTCATACCCACTCTATGTAATAAAATATTACACTCTATATAATATTAAAACTAAATTATGTAGTGTAAACATTAAATTTTCATGTTTTAATCGAAATAAACTTATTGTTCATGTAGAGAAGTTAGTATGGGTTAATAATAAACCCAATACTGAGTTTACATGTACATAAAAATGTGATTTAAAAAGTTATGTGTTTAGAGATTGGAGAGTTAAGTACAATTTTTTAATGCGACTCTAATAATGACCTTTCAAAAATATTACAATAAATTAAGTTATTTATTATTTAAATAGCAATGAAATTCTTGACATATTTTGTTTTGGTCATTGTATACAATGACCGTTTATCTACTATATCCGTAACATGTATAAAATAAAACAAATCTAACTAACAAACTTTAAAACCTTGGGTTTAATTAGAATTTAGTTTAAAATTTTTTTAAACAACTTTCAAAATCTTAGTCTTCCTTAAAAGCATTTTTTAAAGTTTTTTTACAATAAATTATGATAGGTCGAAAACAACTTTAGTACTTATTAAGTTACAAGTATTTTAATATGGTGGGTATAGCTCTTACAGATTTATATTTATAACGCATACTTCACTCATGCTATATATCCACTCGATCTATTAAAATGCTTGTAACTCAATAAGTACTTATCCTAAAATTATTATCAACCCATCAAAAATCCCTAATTGTTACCTAGAATAAATTGTCAAGAAATCAACGTATAGAAAAGGAAAATTAACACAGATAAATATTTACATAATATTTTTCTATTACATAGCTACCACATAGCTCATAAAATGCAAAAATAAATTTTGGCAAAAGCTATCAAAATAACTTTATTTTTATAGCTTTTATTTTCGTTAAAATTTTATTCCTAAAATTAGATTATAATACAACTAAATATTATTATTTTACACTGATTTTAGATAGTAAGTAATAGCATATATTAAATTTAAGTTTTATTGACATTTTATAGAAAATAATATTCTAAAATCCTATTTAATAATTCCCTTGTGTACATGAAATTTTAATAAATTATAACTACTTACCATTTTAGCTTCCAAATGCCTAACTGCTAAATAACTAAATTAATTTAAGAATTCCCTCTAAATTTAAGTACTATATATAACATTTGTGTCGCTTTAGGCATCAATTTNTAAATTTAAGTACTATATATAACATTTGTGTCGCTTTAGGCATCAACTGATGTCAAATCCTAAAAATGTAAATGAAAAAAAAGGAATTTATTGATTGTATGACAAGTAATAAATTAGTGAGTAGGGAATTTTTCAGCTATTGTTTACTTAGAGACGTTTGTATTAGTAAAAATTATACATAATTCTCCAGTTCATTAAAAAAATTTGTAAATCGATTATT